TTTCGGAGCATCATGCTTTCCAGAAAACCCTAGTAGCCCGGCAGATATGTGCAATATTTGAGGGAATTGTGATTTTTATGATACAAGCATGAGCTTTGCACACGGTTAGAGCATGCCCTAAGGAAGATTTTTGGCTATAGGGCCATCGCATATTTTGTCCATGGCAACAATGGCGGCCATTTTCCAAGATGGCCGCCATTCAAATCCAGCTTCATTTTCAGCTAATATTCAACATAGAAACATGATCTTGGTGCCTAAACTAACATTATCGGGGTCAATGAACACATTGCAATTAAAATTATTATCGATCGGAGGCCGCCATCTTGAATTTCAAGATGGCCGCAATTTAAATCCATTATCATTTAATTAATATTTCAGCTAATATTCAACATAGAAACATGATCTTTGTGTCTAAACCAACATTATCGGGGTCAATGAACCCAGTGCAATCAAAATCATTATTGGTCGGTGGCCGCCATCTGGAATTTCTAAATGGCCGCCATTCAAACCCATTATCATTTATTATTTCAGCTAATATTCAACATAGAAACATGGTCTATGTGTCTAAACCAACATTATCGAGGTCAAGGAACACATTGCAATCACTGATTATCGGTCGGTGGCCGCCATCTTGCATTTTAAAATGGCCGCCATTCAAATCCATCATCATTTTATATTTCAGCTAATATTCAACATAGAAACATGGTCATTGTGTCTAAACCAACATTATCGAGGTCAATAAACGCATTACAAATCAAAATAATTATCTGTCGGTGGCCGCTATCTTGAATTTTAAAATGGCCGCCATTCAAATCCGTTATTCTTTAAAGCTGCACTATGTGCATCCAAACGCTAATTTCTCCAGTACTAGACTAGCAAATACTTCGTGTCATGCATAATCACACTACTTTATGGCAAAATAAACTCTAGTTCCTCCCATTTCACTGCGCGTTTGCTTAAAACCCAAAAAAAAAGGTGGCGAAATCTGGTAATCTGGCGCCAATGCTAAATTGTTTGCCAAACAATTTCGCCAAGAATCGGTTAGGTGACGTCACATGTTTTTATATTTGCTACACCCGTACCGCTGTACCGCAGCACCGCTGCACGGTTGCTTGGGAGAGCAACGCGTAAGTGTCACAACATCGGAGAATTTGAACAACATTGAGGTATTTTCAAATGCCTTTTATAAGACAACGCGCAATGAAATGGGAGGAACTAGAGTTTATTTTGTCATAAGGTAGTATGATTATGCATGACACGAAGTATTTGCTAGTCTAGTACTGGAGAAATTAGCGTGTAGATGCGCATAGTGTGGCTTTAATATTTCAGCTAATATTCGACATAGAAACATGGTCTTTGTGTCTAAACCAACATTATCGGGGTCAATGAACACATTGCAATCGATATCATTATCGGTCGGTGGCCGCCATCTTGAATTTCAAAATGGCCGCTATTCAAATCCATTATCCAATTCAATTTATTTTATTGCAATTTAATCACTTTATTTACACATGACAATTACATTTTAAAGGTATCATATTGGTTCAACAAATTAATTAACAAAGCTAATAAATTGAAAGAGTTGAGAAAGGTCACAAGAGCTTGTGACCACACATAACCTGCTTAAAATACATGTTGGATGATTACATGTTGGATCAAAGTGCTCAGCTTTGGTTGGTGGGACGTTTTCAATGGGCTGAGACCCTTGACTGAACAGGTGCTTTCTTGCCTCATCCACCTTGCTCATGACGCCGGTCCTGCTATGCATGTTGACAACGAACCTTTCTATCAAATTTAGAGTTTGCGAGTCAACTTCATGTGGTTGCGATAGGAGAACCAGAAATTCATATGTTACTTGAAGATATGCTAACCAAGTTGGACATGCCGACTTCTTCCCATGGCCAAGGAAGCTGGATTCAGTGTCACACCCACTCAGGGCACGGAAAAACATTAGTGATTTCGCTTTCACACCTAGGCTGTTGGCAATTGCATAGATTGGAATGTGGCGAATGTTTGAATCACCACCAAAGCTGACCCACAGCTCATCAATATCCAGTGCATATCCAGTGGAGAAGCAGGCAGTGGAGATTCTAAATCTTGGTCAGGTACCCATCATCACTGTGGATCAACCTCTGTATACAGTGGCAAAACAAATCCAGTAAAGCTGGCCAGCGACTCACGGCTAAGATCACTTTATTGCGATGTTTGGTGGGCTTCACATCGAGATGGTGGCACTCAAGATACTTGGCGACTTCTTGGAGGGGAGCGGCTGGAAGGGAGCACTTGTACAAGCTGGAGTTGCTACTCCTGGGACAGCAGATTCCTTTATGAAAGCACCCCATGTGACACGCACCCGACGCACTCATAAAGTCACAGCCAGCAGCGCATTTATCTACAAAAGGCCTACACTGAGTACAGCAATGACCTGGACGAGGGAAACGATCTGATGTCCCTGGAAGATTGGTGCACTGAAAAAGCTGTGTCATGTCTCCAGTTCCACTTCTGGTCCATCATCCTGCAGCTGGAGATAGAGGTGATGATCTACGTGCGATCAATAAGGGAGGCCGACTTCCTACTCTATATGAATCCCTTGACCAAGGTCGTGCCTTGGTTCTTCGCCTTGGGACACACCCACTATGCCAGATGGATACTAGTCCACTTGCGTGACATGATTAGGCTGAAAGATACTCATCCTGATGTCCACCGCCAGTTTCTGAAAAGAAACCTTGCTGTGAAAAAGACGACACGCAGCTTCTCTGCTATTGCCATTGACCAGGCCCACGAGCAGAACAATGCCTCTGTGAAAGGTGACGGTGGTGCTGTGGGCCTGACAGAGAACCCTGCAGCTCTGCGACGTTGCACGGTGTGTGGTCCCAAGATGGCACGTGTGATTGGAGAGTTTGGGGGCATCCACTGAGAAAGAAGACTAACAAGACTACAAGAGAAAGAAGACTAACTAACCCCCGGCACCACGAGCAGACCAAACATGCACAGATGGCATTTGCAAATAATATATCTGCAATGGATATCTTCTCGTACTGGATACCAGAGACTTTGCAGATGCAGCAGTCATCGACACTGCGAACGAGATTGAGAAAATTGGACAGGACCAATATGACACCTTTATCAGCGAGCGCCTGGTCAACCACACGAAGCCCATCAAAGATCCTATCAAGAGGAAAAACCTCCCTCTATTCAGCCGGCCTCCAGTCCGGGTGAAGTCCAGGTCCCAACAACGGCTCTCATCCCTGTTTTCTAGGCTGTACATTTCATGGCAGATACGTGATGGAAATCTGGGGGAGTTTTTTGAGCATGAAATCCAGGCGTGTCCACCAGCATTGTCGCAAATGGGCAAGCTGAGAACTGGTACCAAGTCAGACTTGGTGGGCTGTTTGGAGGACCTGGTTCCTTCACAAGAGAATGCATCCAACCCCACAGTACCATCATCATCCTTGATGGGGCTGCTCTCGTGAACATGCTACGAAATGGTGCTGCTAAGACATTTTCCGATTACGCGCAGCAAGTGTTCTCACCCTACATGCAGCATGTCAGCAGAGTAGATGTCGTGTGGGATGAATATCTCCCTGAAAGTCTGAAGGCCGAAAAACGCAGCAAGAGAAGGAAGGGAGTTCGTAGACGCGTTGAGCCATCCAGTGCCATTCCTGGAAACTGGCCGGAGTTTCTGACAATCAACGACAAGGTTGAGCTGTTCTCCTTCCTGGCATCTAGTGTGACGGACACTGACAAACAAATAATCAGCACCAATCATGCTGACGTCCTCTATACTCAGCCCCGAGATATATCAGGTCTTGCACCATGCACACATGAGGAGGCTGATACCCGCATCCTACTGCACCTAGCAAATGCTGTGAAGGAAGGGTATACCAAGGTGTCAATACGCACAGTTGACACGGATGTGCTAGTACTGGCAGTGTATATTAAGCAGGTTATCTGTGGTCACAAGCTCTTGTGACTCTTCACAACTCTTACAATTTATTAGCTTTGTTAATTAATTTGTTGAACCAATATGATACCTTTAAAATGTAATTGTCAGGTGTAAATAAAGTGATTGAATTGCAATGAAATAAATTGAATTGGATAATGGATTTAAATGGCGGCCATTTCGAAATTCAACATGGCGGCCACCGACCAAGAATGATTTTGATTGCAATGTGTTCCCTGACCCCGATAATGTTGGTTTAGACACAAAGATCATGTTTCTATGTTGAATATTAGCTGAAATATTAAATGATAATGGATTTGAATACCGGCTATCTTGAAATTCAAGATAGCGGCCTTCGACCAATAATGATTTTGATTGCAATGTGTTCCTTGACCCCGATAATGTTAGTTTACGTACCAAGATCATGTTTCTATGTTGAATATTAGCTGAATATGAAGAATAATGGATTTGAGTGGCGGCCATCTTGGAAAATGGTCGCCATTGTTGCCATGGGACAAATATGCGATGGCACTATAGCCAAAAATCTTCCTTATGGCATGCTCTAACCGTGTGCCAAAGCTCATGCTTGTATCATAAAAATCACAATTCATTCACATATCTGCCGGGCTATAGTGGCTGCCGGGCTTGATGTGCTGAGTTAGTACCAGAGACCCCACCCCCAATTCCATCTTAAGTGGCACATACCTACCCTATTTTGTAGAGAGTGCCACCCCGGGGTTGTCATAGTAGATAGTGTTGTTACTATAGTAGATACTAAGGTACTAATATTAAATAAATTTTGAAATATACATGCATTATTTATAAAAAGCGACCTTAGAGCATCTTTTATTTTGCATTGAGGTAATTTACTTGAACTCTATTGTTGTATATATGATTTTATTCCTTTGTTATTCATTAAACATGCAATGGTGACGTGCTACACACAGTGGCGCGATTTTCCTGTACTACCCCTGAATTTAGTGGCTCTCATAAATCGTATGAATGTGTGGCAAAAATTACAAGATACGGCAATAAAAAATGTTGCAGGAAGATTATCTGAATTGTACTTTTATGTGATTTTATTTATTTTATTAGTTTTTCTTCTTCTTTTTTTCATTGGTGCTGCACAACTAAAATGGCTACTATTTAGCCATTTACAAAACAACTAAATACTAAGTATATTATTAGAATCCCTGACACCCTGTAGGGCTTTGTATACCAACTATTTTTAAAAACAACTCGCGATTATAAACGTGCCAGGGCCGTGGCTAACTCATTCTGCCCTTGGGCAGGGGGTGCAAGGCAATATGCAGTTTGAGTTCTGGCAATTAACAGTGCGCAGTATACCAGTGGCACTCTCAAGACCATGGGAAATTCTAATGGAACTGCTTTGCCCCTCCCCCTACCCATTCCCGCTAGCTACGGCTGTGCTTGCTCCCAAACGTAGTAGGAACTTGGTTGCTATGACAATAATAACAACAGTGAAACTAACAATGAACTAGACCATTAGTGACTATATCAATGACAACAATTATGACCGTTTTTTGCACAATGATGTAAAACGATTATCAGATAACAAGCAAAGATTGCTGTGATGTTGCATTGAAATTCTAACTAAACTCAAACTAGAAAATGGTCAAGTTCTGGTTCAAATTGGAGAGAAAATCCAGTCAAACCATATTTCCAGAACGCTTACCACAGTGAATATGACCATTAGTTACTATTGAAAAAACACAAACGATGTGACCGTACTTGCATGGATTTGCTCAACTGATTTGCAGAACAATTTAAATGAAAGTATATAAAAATAAATTCAAATATGTGCAAAATAGTTGCAAAAAACCTTGCAACCATATCCACCCTAGTACTCTTGAGCTAAAACTAAACTTTCTTCCTTCGTCACATAAAAAATAGAATCCTCTGTTACATTACATGCTCAGCTACAAGTAGTAACACATGCACGGCATGCTATAATAAAATTTATACAACAATAAAACTATGCCTTCATTTTAATATGAGTTGTGAATGTAAAGTTAATCTAAACATTTGTTGCGAAGTCTCTCTAGCCATTGTAAATTTGTCAACCACGCTTTCCCCATGTTCATATTTTGACTTGGTTACTAGAGAATACTGCCCTTATATTATTATAATTATAATAAAGATAAACACATACATGCTTTTCTTTCCAAACTGTCACACAATTGTCGTGTCGTAATTCCATGAACTGACAATCAAGACCTCTATGGTCTTTACCTCACAAGATACATCCGACTACTTGTTTACCCGTACAAGTTTTCTGAAGAAAGTTAATTATGGTTGACAAGTTTCCATACTTCATCGGTGATAGAAAGGGCAGATACGTTGACCAGCAATTGCAATTTTTCACACATCATCTTCCTCTACTGTGTTTTGATGCGACTTTGAATGACACTGCTCTCGGAAAGCTCTTATACCCACGATTAGATTTTATGGTTTCTGTCCTGCGTGAGTTTTCACGTGTTTTTTCAAACGGTCATTTCTGGAGTAAGCAGCGTCACAGAGCTTACATTTGTAAGATTTTTCGCCGGTGTGAATTTTCATGTGTTGTGCCAAACCGTTTTGAACAACAAAACGTGTTTGGCACACATCACATTTATATGGTTTCTCGCCTGTGTGACTTCCGAGGTGCCTTCTTAAACTATCTGGCATCGAATAGGCAGCTTCGCAATGATCGCATTTATACGGTTTCTCGCCTGTGTGGGTTTGCATATGAGACTTTAAGGCACGTCGGTAGGCAAAAGTGTCATTACATAGATCGCATCTAAATGGTTTCTCTCTTGTATGGGTTCTCATGTGTATTTTCCGGTTACCTGAATGAGTAAAAGCTGCATCACAGGAATTGCATTTGTACGGTTTCTCTCCTGTGTGAATTCGCATGTGTTTTTTCAAAGTTCCTTTCTCAGCAACAGTCGCATTACATACATTGCATTTAAATAGTTTCTCTCCTGTGTGAGTTGTCTTGTGTCTCTTCAGGTTGCCTACCTGAGAAAAAGCAGATTCACACACATCACATTTATAGGGTTTTTCTCCAGTGTGAGTTCGCATGTGTAATGTCAACTGAGTTGATTTGATAAAAGCCTTCGTACACATCGTACACTCATATGGCTTCTCTTTTGTATGAGTTCTCATGTGTGTCGTTAAGTTACTCCTCGCAGCGAATGCATAATCACACAGTTCACATTTATATGGTTTTTCTCCTGTATGTGTTCTGAGATGTAACTTGGCTGCTTCTGATGTAATGAAAGTCGCGTCGCACAAATCGCACTTATATGGTTTCTCGCCCGTGTGCCTTCTCATGTGGGTCACCAAACTGTGCTTTAGAGAGAAAGCTTTCATACACACATCACACTTATAAGGTTTCTCTCCAGTATGAGTTCGCACGTGACTTGTCAAATCACATTTCTGAGCGAAGCTTGCTTCACACATGTCACATTTATGCGGTCTCTCCCCTGTATGAGTCCTCTCATGTATAATTACACACTTTTTAACAGCGAAGGTAGCATCACACATACTACACTTATATGGTTTCTCACCTGTGTGAGTTTTCATATGTATCATAACAGTAGTCTGCTGTGTGAAGGATACTCCACATATGTAACATTCATAAGGTTTTTCTCCCGTGTGAGTTCTTTTGTGTGCTCTCAGATGGCCAGATACAGTAAAGGCTTTTTCGCACATGTTACATTTGAATGGTTTTTCTCCTGTGTGAATTCTCATGTGTTTCCTCATATCACCACTATCACGGAAAGCTGCTTCACATAGTTCACATTTATATGGTTTTTCTCCTGTATGAGTTTTGATGTGTTGCTTTAAGCTATTCTCGAAAGAAAAGGCAGCATCACAAATATCACATTCATATGGTTTATCGCCTGTGTGAGTTTCCATGTGTTTTTCCAAATGGCCAAATGAATAAAACGTTTTTTCACACGGTTTACATGTATATGGCTTCTCTCCTGTGTGACTTTTCATGTGTCCCTTTAACTGAGATTTCTGATGAAAACCTATATCACAGACGTTACATTTCCATGATTTCTTTCCAGCCATAGAGCCAGTGGGAGTAGTGGCTGTTCTTGTGTGCTCCTTTATGCGGCCTTGTTCGGAGAAGGCTGAACCAGACATGTTCTACGTCTTTACTCTTTAGAAACCCATTTCTCATTGGCATTAGTTGACGCTCGACTCAACGAAAGCTGCAACAAAAACGTTTCTATATCAACACCATATTACTGAATATATATCAATAATCAGGGATCAAGTTTAATTATTTTTTTGCACTTGCAAAAAATTGCAAGTGCCCAACTTTCTTACTTGCTAATTGGTAACTGGTAGTTGCATTTTAAGATCATCAGCATTTCTTTCGATGAGAAGGGTTCATTTCATTTTGTGTTCGTGGATTTTTTGAAGGATTTTTGAATCAATTCTCTGATTTCCCTTGCCAATTCTTTGAAAGAACGACATTGTCATTTCAGTTCTTCCGATTTAAATTGAAAAATTACAAACATCAAAACTGTTACAGTGACGTTTGTTCAATGAACTTGCGCAGGAAGCATCAGAATCGTCTGGTCGCTTTCAGTCACAATGCTTTTAAAAATTGACTATGTCACCAAAAATAGTAAAAGTAAAAAAATTATAAGTAAGTGATTCTGTTCAATTTTTCTGATTAAATTGCTGCATTATACTTCCTATTTTGCTATTCCGTTCGATGTGAACAAACACTCGTGACTCATACATAGCCCATAGCAAGCATTTAATGTCTTGACCAATACATCAAATCGCCTATATTTTTTGGATTTTTAACTAGCTGAAAAACAATCTTATCAGGTAAGAATTTGAGGATACATTTAGTGCCGATAGTACTTACTTTTCATTTTTTTAAATTGCAACAAAATTTTTACAAACACACACCATAGAAAATTCGTGACATCGGCAATTTAACATTGGTGGCAAGCGTATAGACGTCACCAATCAGTACGACGCGTGAGTATTGCGCAGCAAACGAATACGTCATGGAACAACTTGCAGTTTTGATTTCAGAGAAATGCACTTTCATTTTTACATTCTGAAAATGGTAGCAGGCCTCAACGTTTATTTTCAGATCTGGTTGTCCTGTCGGGCAACAAGAAGCAATTTTTACTAGTCTGAATTTTTATTTTACTTGTCCAAAATTTACTTACAATCTATGTGCCGTTAAGGTCCATTTTGGGTTCAGTGGGTTTTGGGTCACATTACGATATATACATGGGAAACTGTAATAATATATATGAAATATATAATATATAATGAATTCACACAACGTTTATTTTCGCATGCCAGCACACTCTTTGTGTGTCATTCCCGATTGCAGCTTTTTCCTCAATTTCAGGAAAGAGTATTGCTGTCACTCTCTGAGTCTCTCAGCCCAGCGGTGTCCACCCCTTACATATTAGTATGAACATGCCCTACGTGACGTAAACAATCGTCCACCACCACCACCACTGTATATCAATCAATGCCGCCCCCACAAGGCACACACAGCCACACTGTGTGAGCTGACACTCTATCACTTGTCCCGGGCAATCGGACAACCATTAGTGTTGAGGGCTGGGTACTCGCTCAGAAATGCAAGTGACGAAAATTTCTACCCGCATTTTTAAAAATCAACTCGCTTTTATCGAGTTGGCGAGTGTTAAATTTCAATCCTGATAGTATGCAGAACTGTTTTCTTCAGGCAATATTGTCTGAACTTGATTGCCTTTTCAATCTTATAACCAATACAAGATTTCTGTTATAACTCAAAGCCTGCGTACTAAGTGATGACCAAATATTATGACTAAAGAACTAGGGCTGTAACGATCCACCGAAATCGAATCGAATCACGATTCTGTTTCCTCGATATTTTTTCCCGTATTTTTTATTCGATCCAACCCGTTCTAATTTTTAGATTCTATGCAACTATGCATCGGCCAAAGCGTGTATGAGACGAGACGCGTGCCTTGATTGGTTAATAGTCATGACTCGCCAGTCAGCTAATCAGCAGCTACAGCACATCACTAATACGTAGTTTACTATTACAGGACTCGAGTTTCCCCAGAGTTTGAGGACTAATCCATACAGATTTGTTATTGAAAGAAAAATGGCCAAAAAATCTATCTGTCTATCTATCTATCTAGGGTGCCTGCCTGCCTGCCTATCTATCTAGCTATCTATCTACTACTTCACCTTTAGTAATGCTGAGAGGGTCTATGTCCCCCAGGGTACTGCCGGAACGTACCCTGGTACTAAATACTACTATCTAATATGCCGGACCGTACCTCACCTACTCCACTAACGAGTCTAGGGAGTCGCCTATGCCTACTCCCTAACCCTAACACTAACCCTAACCCTAACCCTATTCCATATCAGCTAGATAGTTACCAGGGTACGTTCCGGCAGTACCCTGGGGGACATCGACCCTCTTAGCTTTAGTAACAGTAAAGCAAGTCAGTGCAAGCTGAATCTTATTTGGACAATCTGGCTGCAGGGGCCCGTATATTTCTAAAATGCTGCTGCAGGGGCCCGTTTATTTAATGTTGATGCAGGGGCCCGTTCATTTAATACTGCTGCAGGGGCATGCATGGTCATTTTTCAATGATTTTGGCCTCGTGCGACCTCGGACGTGGGTCAAATCCAATGTGCCCATGACATTCAGCATCAAAAGTAAGTCCTAGGACATTTCTAGAGTGCTCAATATTGATTTGCATTTAGACTTTGTTCTAAATAAGAACTATCGGCAGCTAAATAAGAGCAATATACAGACCTTTGAATTTCTTGACTAGTCAGTCAAAGGGCTTGTTGGGGGTCCATTATGCAGAGCTTCCAATTGAAATGGCCCATGAAATTGTCAAGTGGAATGGTCTTTTTCGGAACCCCAAAGAAAATGTCTCCATCTTACATGCACCCCCTCCCTGATCAATCACGCATTCAGGTGTAAACAACAACAGCTCGATGAAATTGTGTTGAGTTTATGGCTCTTGATGCACGTGCATTGACGTACAAGACTGATGAAAGCACAGGCACTTGGAACGTCTCAATAAAAATAAATCTTCATACAATTTTTCACAATTATCAACCGCCTGTGTGCAAAATAGGTGAACGTATGTGAAACATACATGGTTAGTACTTACTGTGACATATCCGAGACTAACTGACACCATTAAATTGGTAAAATGTTCCATGCACCTTAAGTAAGAGAAATTACGAGGTTATCATCGCAGAACTCTCGACACCGCCCATCCTGATGTCACAAAGCTATAATTATGTAAACAAACACGCATGTTGCGAGGTGCGTGCCTTCGATATCCATTTCGAGGCCCACTAAGCCAACCATAAAGCGCGCGGGCAAGACGTCACACACACAGCTACGTTCATTGGCTAAAACAATCGAGTAGCGCGGTTAGGGATTTTCGGAATTATTTAATTTTAAGAAAAACTTCAATGTTTAATGAATGACGCACTCGTTCACTTCTGAAAGCGGGTACAAATGCCCAATTTTTCCACTTCGGTGCGAAATGCATCGGCCGGGCCTTTCATTATTTACGAAAAGCAAACAGTCTCGCCAAACACTACACGCAGTAACGGGTCACGACGTTGACGCCCCATTCATGCCCATCAACGAAGAAGGCGGGGCTTATTCTGATTACGGAAATGCGAAAATGTAACAGAAGGACGTAGCGCAGTGCGCTAAACGTGTTATTATCGTATTTGTGCCAAACTCTATCGTAGGAAACCGTTCTAGCCTAGCAGAATGCCTTAGTTTCTGAGCTCGGCGATTTGGTGGTCCAATGGGTCCCCACCTTTAAAAATATAATAGAGAGGTGCGGCGTGCGAGTTTTTAAACCGTAGGATGGCGACTGCAGATTTATAAATTATTCATGACATCACACATGGTTCGCGTTTCTGATTTGTGCGAAGTAATAATTCACTTCACTCAAGACCACTTCACGAGCCCAAAACCATATCCCTAACCCTAACCCAACCCTAACATCAACTCTAAACCGACTCGGCTATCTTATATACTCGTGTCATAGTACCAAATTAATCTATGGTGTGGGAAAGCGACGCATACCACGCTGCACCACAGGCACTTGAAGCGTTTCAATAAAATATAATGCTAACTAAATACGAAATCTATTTACTACCAAATTCTTAATGTTTCTATACTCTCTTTCACCTATTATTGCCTAACATAAAGCCTAAACATAATGTCTCTGTTCGTAACCAAGCTGTGTCACGCGAAATCACACAAAGACTGACGAAATTCTCGCGTTCACGAACCTTGCCCTGTAATGTAAATGGCTGCAAGTACAGGGCTATATATATAGACTGGGACTCGCTCCCACCTCGATTACCCATCGAGTGACTAAGCTAAGCCGAGAGGTGAGAGCGAGTGCCAGTCTATGGGCTATAGGCGGCGCGCAGGCGACGCACTGCTTTCCAACTCCCGTCTGAGCCTCGCCATTGGAACGTTGCAAAAACGTTGCAGCGTTGCGGCGCAAGAATGAGGTCACGAAGAGTGCCGGTGGGTGTTTCCTGATTCTGACAGACATTTACATTACAGGGCAAGGTTCACGAACGCGAGAATTTCGTCAGTCTTTGTGTGATTTCGCGTGACACAGCTCGGTTACGAACAGAGACATTATGTGTTTATAACAAGTGAACACTGTTGTTGAAAGAGAAACAAAGATGGAAGCTGTTGGATGTGTATTGGTGCTGTGAAAGTGTGTAATCCAGCGAGCGTCGAGCGAATTTTGCGATCGCGCTTTCCTACCTGCTATATATATTAGTGTAAGCGTGCAACAGTCGCGCCGCGAAAGCAATGGCTCCGGCAGCGTATATGGTTGGACGTAGGATTTGGACGGAATTGATAGGAAACTGTCGACAATAATAGGTGAAAGAGAGTATAGAAACATTAAGAATTTGGTAGTAAATAGATATATTTTCAGTCTTCGACGTTAGGCGGTGGACCGTGGTCCGAGACCACCAAAATCTCTCTCGGTCCAGTAAATTTAACAAGTTAAATGGACCGTCGGTCCACCCGTTTTTTTCAGCCACTCTAGTTACAGTATTTAAATAATTTATCAAAGTATTTATGAGACTACTTACTGTATAGTACATAAAATGCGAACAAAACGCGGCATTGCTAGTCATTATCAAAACGCACACCTCTTTCGTGTTTTTGTTTTCAATTGAGAATCCAACTCTTCGTAACTCGAGGGATTAAACGCAAACGGCTTCTCAACATCACGAGACATTGCCGGGAAAGTCTGTTCACAATGTTTTATGTAGTACGACAGTTTTGTAAGCTGCTTATACAATCAGCTAGGTCCGTTTCAGGTTACATCGTACACTTCATCCCGCTCATCATTTATTATCACCGACGAAAAGACTATGACGTACTGTTGACTGGGTATTCTTCCGTTTAGCACTCACTGAACCGCGCTAAACAGCACACCTTCCACCGTCGAATACAAAGCCTTCAGCCTGCGGTTGATTCTGCTTTGCAACCCGAACCCACCCAATACCAATCCAACGCCAAAACCAAACAATGTGGGGCATCTATCATGACCTTCGATGCATACATGATGGATATATGACTGGGTTACTGTATTCAATTGCTACAGCAGATCGAGCACGATGATGATGAAGAATTGCAGGCTGACAAGTGGAAAGATTAAAGAAGCGCTGATTTTAAGGTTTTTAGTGAAGTTTTATTTGCCAATATATGTGTTTTTTGAAATGAAACTGAAATACCTCAAATTGCATAAAATGCACAAACAGTGACGTAATTGATCTATGATGTTGCAATTACTATTAAGTTTTAATATGTCCTGCTTTGAAATATTGAGTGTTGTTCTTTGTAGACTAAGACATGCTACACTCGCCCCCGTTGATTCAAGTTGATCCCGATCAATATGTTTCAAGTAAACTGATATATTGGTTATGAGTGGAAAAAATCGGCTAACAAATGTCCAAATTTAAGCAGTTACAAATGACCAGAGCTAATTTTGTTTATCCCAAAAATGCTGGAAATGGCATTATCGATGAAGTCTTGATTTCAAATTTTTTCCTGGCGGGGCCATGCCCACCGAACCCCTAGCTTCTCGCTGCTGTGACCTGCGGGGACTCTGGATGCAAAATCACACTCACCCCACTACCTCGGCAAGCCAAGGCGTGTTGATATTTTGCATCTCGCCTGCTCTTTTTTTCAAACACAAGGACTGAATAACACTTTTTAAACTTTGTCTTCATCGTTAACAAAACGTCATGAGGTATTCTTACTGTTTCATAAGCAGTTGTTAAAGGTATATCATGAATTATTTGATAGTATTGCTACTGTTATCATAGCAGCCTGGTGTAGAAGCGTATGTGATTTAATTGATTAGGTATTCTACCTGTTATTCATAGCAGGTGTAGAAGGTCATGTGATGATACACTGCTCACTGACAGGACATAACGCAGATTTAGTTGTTTTACTTTTTGCAGCTTTTATTGCTAGTGCATGTGCTAGAAGGCATGTGATGTATATGTTGATAAGGTATGTACTACCTGTTATCATATGCAAGTGTGTACGAAGGTATATTATGGTAAAATACAAAATGATATTGAACTTGTTTTGTTCTTTAGTTGTCAAAAATGTCAAAAATAATATTGGTGCAGTAAATATTAGCCGCGTCCAGTTAAATTTTACTGGCTTGGTGGACCGAAGGTCCAGTGTTTAGAAATTTCATTCGTGAAGACTGTATTTTATTGAAACGCTTCAAGTGCCTGTGCGATGCGCGACTGCTCGGACAAATAGCGCATAACGATATCCCTAACCCAACCCTAACACTAACTCTAAACCGACTCTAAACAAATCTAAGCGACCGTCAACGAATCAGAAACGAGAACCATGTGTGATGTCATGAATAATTTATCAATCTTCAGTCGCCATTCTACGTGCCAAAAACGCAGTGGCTACGGGTACGGTAGCCGTCGGTCGTTGAAGCCCCTTTTTGGCGTTAGGGTTAGGGTTAGGGTTAGGGTTAGGGTTAGGATTAGGGTTAGGGTTAGGTTTAGGGTTATGGTTAGGGTTAGGTTTAGGGTTAGGGTTAGGGTTCTAGCTCATCTAAACTCTCAAATCGTGAATTTATTTCCCAAGGCATTATTTCGAAATCTGGCGCCACCGCCGCCATCTTTGTCTCGTTAAGTATGAAAGAAAGCGAATGGACTCCCGTACACGTAGCCTCGAGACATTAAGATACGGCTACCGTACCCGTAGCCACTGCCTTTTAAAAACTCGCGTGCGGCGAAAGCTGTGATTCACTGATTGGAAGACACAAATTTGAACAAACGCGCCCCGCGAAACCTCGAACAAACACGTCCAGGTTTGAAATCTGACTTACACACTAGCCACAAGTTCCCTTCTCGCTAGCCACAAGTTCCCATCTCGCTTAACACTACGTGGCGAGAGGTTGTGTAACAGCCGCGTATCCTCCGCCGTGTAACAGTCGGAGAGCCTGGTCGGTTTAACTTACACACTTGCTTTCGCCAGAATAGTTTGCTATTTATACGAAGGATGGATGATACGTAGGCTCGTAGCTACAACTGACCACTGACACGCATAATCATAGAGATATCGAATAATATCTTTGCCCATGGCATAGATAACCAGAGATAATTAACCAAACATGGACGCCACCTACTGGCTAAATTACATTTTATCTGATTTTACCATTGGGTGTTCATTGGTTCCGTTTAGTAGATACTTCGCGCGCCACACATACTGGAGCAGATAACATAGTTTTATATTTTTTCCATGAAGAAATATTCGCAAGTATTACTGAGTTATAGCATCTCCAAAATATATCGCATCTGTGTCGATTGTAGAGGACACACATTTAGGGATCACCTCAGGTGGCGCCACTCATACCCGCGTAGTAGACTGGTACCCGGTACCACCTCTCGGCTTAGGTGGGACGGGACCCTCATCGAGTAATCGAGGTGGGAGCAAGTACCAGTCTAACCTGCGTAGGTGACATATACATGGCTGCGCCCAGTCGTTCATATTGTTATGTTTTGTTAGTATTAGTAATGTAAATAGTATAATTACAGAGATCTATTATTATAATGGCTTCCTATGACGTGCTTTACACATTTGGATATATTTTGGCTTCAATGTGTATAGTGTTTCCACCACGAGAGTTCAGAGAAGGTGGTCTCACGATTGAAAATATATTCTCGAGTCTGATCGGAAGTGAAGACGTGCGATTTATCCACCATCACATTCGCAGGACGTCGTTAACAGTGTTGATACACTCGCTTTTGCCACTATGTATGTTTTTTTCGGTGTATTATTGTGTTAACATGATTCGTGTTACATCGGTCATTACACTATAATAGCTCTATCATCAATAATAAATTATCACACAATCACACAAATTCCTTTACAAACTTGTTATGTTAGAGAATGCAGGTGCTTCACTGCTTGCTCTAAAATATTAAACTTCAGTTTTAGATCATTTTAGCAGGTCAAGGATAATTTGGGACTTGGACCACAAATGTGTTTTCGCATGTATGTGCTAAACTAATCCGGTGTGCTAAACTAGGCGTGGGCCATTTGAGCTAGACGTCCATAGTTAACTTTGCTCAACAATAAAGCATTGTTATTTTAGTTACTTATACTAGAAATTAATTTGTACATTTCTACATACAGGTTACTACATTGGGCTTGGCTATACATCACCAGGATTGCAGCTCTTTAACTTGGGCAAGACATCCTACTTGTGGATAGGATTCCTATGTTGCTCTCTGCTGATCGTCCTTGTAGCAACTCTAACAGTTTTATATTGGTACAAAAACAATTGGTCAAAACATCCAATATCTAAAACGCTAGAACGTCATGGAAACCGATGGTATGCAGTGGCATCAGACATTAACATTGAGTATCGCAGGATCACCAAGTTTACTTCCATCCTTGGGCAAACAAAAGTCTATATTACAGATTCCTGGATTGTGAAGGTATGATCATTTAAGACAATTGTAATATTTTAGATTGTAATGGATGTATACATGAGTTTATATCCTGATGGCATCAATTCATTAATTGAAAAAATGAGCATGAATTCATGATAGCTGAAACATTTTGCTATACTTGACTTTTAATGTAGTTTATGTTCTACGTCGATGCAATATTATATACCAAATTCTAGTACATTAATCGTTGCCCAACTTTCTAAAGGTGTCCACGTACAATATGGATATCGCATATCAGAGTGACGTTCATCTGACATTACATGACACAGACAGTCATGCTATTTCCCACGAGAACATGGGACCAGTGCAATATGTCAGCATTACGGTGAGCAGCATACGGGATGGAGTTCACCCATTCAGCATCAGGTAATGATAGTGCTATAACCTTGTAATGCTCATAGGGTCTATGTCCCCCAAGGTACTATCGGAGGGTACGCTGGGTACGTTTCGATATATCGGAACGTACCCTGGTAACTATCTGATATATGGTTAGGGTTAGGGTTAGGGAGTAGGCGTAGGCGACTCCCTAGACTCGTTAGTGGAGTAGGCGAGGTACGGTCCGGCATATTAGATAGTACCAGGGTACACAGGCACTTAGAACGTCTCAATAAAAGAAAAGGTCAATAAACACAAAATGTATTTACTACCAGTCTTAATGTTTCTCTACTCTATTTCGCATATTGCCGA